TGGTTTGAAGAATTAGATAGCAATAAGAAAAATGAGGAAAGATATGAGATTATGATTCAAATACAATTAAGGAAAATACATGTACTGTGGAAGTTGCGGGAAGAGAAAGAAAAAGAATATATGAAAAACAAGGATGACAGAGATAAATTCAAGGATGTACGATAAGAGAAGAAAACAGGATTAAAAGAGTAAGAGGATGTAAGGAAGGAGAATAAAACGTCTAGAACTTTGTATATAAGAAATAGATAGTAAGCAATAAGTAGTAAAAAATAAAAAAAGAAAAAAGTAAGGATAAGTAATTAGATTTAAAAGGTTGTAGTAGATAAATAAAAACAAAAAATATTTTGTATTGCGACATACAGGACGTGTATGTTAGATTTTTATCTAGTCGAATAATTATAAGAGACGATACATGCGTGTGTAAAATAAATTGTAACCGAATTCGTTCTTGTAAACCGAAGTATAAATTATTCTGTTGTTGTGTTAATTATTTTGCTCGTTCAACATCGATATTGACATTCATTTTATTGTAGTAATAAAATGCATTCATTAATTTATCTTTCGTATTAAAAAATTATATTGTAATCTCTCAAGTCATTAAAGTTCTTTATCAAATAATTATAAAAGTCTAATTACTTCACTAATAATCTTTGTCCTACTTTTTTAATACACTGCACGCAATCTGTCGTTGACTTCACGAACTTCTTCATGCATTTATTAATAGAATGTAAATCGTGAATAAAAATGTAAAATAAAAGTAGCTTTTTAGTTGTATAAAATCGGTTCTTGGCCGTGATTAAGTTTAAAATAAAGGCCTGTAAAGGTCTGTATTTACAGCATAAATGCCAATGCATATTAAAGACATAAAATAATTTTGATATAAACAAAAAAAGACGAGAAAATTTATAAAAAGCAGAATTTAAGAAATAAAAGTCTTTAAGAGCCAAAGCTGGATGTTGCAATTATAACTTATTGTATATAACAATTATTATATACAGTAAATTATAATTGCAACAACATTCAGCTTTGACTCTCAAAAGCTTTTTTTATTTTTATTTAATTTACTTCATAAGAGCCTATATAATTTCCATTGTAAAATTTATTTTCGCGTTAAAATAATTACATCAAAAAATTACTTTTGATACATTAAGCGTGATATTTGATATTGTTTATTGGGGCGAACAAAGAATTGGAAAAAACGTGAATAATAAGTCCATTTCGCCAAATATTTATACCTCTACAAAAATACTACAGCGATAAGACGGTATATGACAAAAGTATCAGAGCATGACATTATCTAAATGAATACCTTGTGCAAAAATTAACAACATAAACGGATAATGCAAAATATTACATATTCCACCTCGAGAAAAGCTCGATCCGAGAAACTCGTGAACAAAAATTACAAAAACTTGAGGAACTCTACCTAATTATAATCTTGAAATTAAAATCAGCAATGCACGATATATATCCGCATGATTCTGGCGGCAAACGGTGATGTTATAAAAACGACGAAAAAAATAATGAAAAACAAACGAGTAGTCGCAAGAAAATTTGTTGAAGCAAAACTCTCGTAACGCGTGTATTGTAATTTTAAATAAAGCAACCAACACACGGCGCTAATAAAAGCTGGCGAGACGTCACATCGCGTCGCGCGTTCCGCTCACCGATAAGCCCGTTCCCTCGCAAACATCAACCGACGAGGAGCGATGTAGGAAGGGTGTTTTCTCGGTTTCGCCGGCTCGAGCGAGAGAAATGCGAGAACGGCGGGTACTCACTTGCTAGATTTACGGCTATCGGCGAGGCCTTGGTACGTGTTGGTCGACGTCATCTTGGAAGCGAGATCGGGCTCCTGCACAAAGGACTGGCGACGAAGATTCGTTGAGAATTTGCGGCACTACCGACCGAACTCTGCCGGATGAGCCAGGCCAGGACTCTCTCCCCTCCCACTAGCCGTTCGGAAATCAAATGCTGTCGCGACGCGCGATTGGACGCCCGCGCAGCGATCGCGGGTGACGTCATACCGCTAGTCAGTGCAGCAGCTGAATCGCCCAACATCTGGACAATTAAGAGAATAATTAAGATTTGTTGTTCGCGTTGTTTGAAATCTCCAAAAAGTCTTGCGCTTAAAACAAGATAATAATATATTCGGACGTTCGGAAGGAGGAAAAGCTAAGATGTTGAATACAAAAAGTACAAGCAACATAAGTAGATTGCTATTTCTTATAAGCTCTGTTATATAAAACTAGACGAAACGATAACATTTTTAATATTTTTCTTGTAAAATGCAAAGGAAATTTGCACAAAATGAAAGATTCAGGGCCCCTACTCTTGAAAAGTATCGCGTATGAAACTAGGGAAATGTTATAATATGTGTAACGCATACTCATAGTCTTGGAGCATATAGACATGGAGGGAACATTGGGTGCATTCAATACTACAACCGCTTACTGAGCGCTCAATGAGCAAAAAAGGGATTAATCTATTATTAATACATTTATTTATTATAATTCGTAACGTAGAATAAAGCCCCAGACACAACGCGAAAGAATAGCGATAGCGATTATGCTGGATTCACCCTGCATCCGATTTGCGTCATACGACGCTCTGCAACCAATCAGAAAACAGGTTTCCGATGGATTTTGCTTCGTATCATCAGAATCCTGTTTTCTGATTGATTACAGAGCGTCGTACGACGCAAATCGGATGCAATGTGAATCCAGCATTATACTATGCTTAAAGGCCGGATCAGACTGCGCACTGAAGAATTTGATTGAGAATGAAGATTGAAAGATTGAAGTTTGACCAATCAGAACAAAAAGAGCCAGATTTTTTTTGTTCTCATTGGTGAAATTTTAATCTTTAATCTTCAATCTCAATCTTCAATGCATAGTCTGATTCCGGCCTAAAGCCTTGTGTCCACGATGCTAGAAATCGGTCCGAGAACTTGGATGAAGAAAGAATTGACCAATCGCAATGGTCATGTAATCAAATTGTTCAAATGTGATTTGTTAATTTTTTCTCTATCCGAGATCTTGGACCGATTTCTAGCATCATGGACACAAGGCTTCACTTATCGTCTCGCTGATTGGTTGCTGCTTCCGCTGCTTGACGCTTGACGGCTCCATGTGTCTACACCTTTAGACCATCTCGAATCTTGAGCAACGTCTATGGATTCCGTTCTATGTGTCGATGGTATGTCAAATCAGAATTTATCTTTTAATTTAGAATTATTCTTTCTCCTTTTAATGTGAAGTGAGAAAGATCAACTGTAAATTAGTTCAGCTAAAAAACCTATAATATTTTTTCCAGACCAGGCATCAAAAAGTGACAAGCATTAATGTAGTATACTTGTATTAATATTTAAAATGTCGTTTACATACAGGTATCATGCATGGCTAAATAAATGTACGACAATCATTAATAAAAAAAAGCAAGAAAATAAGCGCAAAAAATTACTTGCAATATTAGCAATTCATGAATTACAAAAAGAAATGGAAAAAGATTATCATGAAAAACGCTTTTGTGTTGAACCGATATTTCAAAAACATACTCGTGGATTTCGTCACTCAATTTTTCCAGTCGTGTCATTAAATGAAAGTCAATTCAGGAACTATTTTTGCATGACGGCAACACAATTGGAAGAATTATTACTTTTAGTTGCACCTCGAATCACCAAACAAACGATAATTCAAGAGCCAATTTCTGCCAAAGAACAATTGTCAATGACAATAAGGTTAGTCTCAAAAATTATTTTATTACATTATTTGTTTTGTTTTTAAATATATTATTAAATTAATTATAATTTTTATTATACACAACACAGATTTTTGGCATCTGGTGATTCTATAACTTCTATGGCTTATCAATATCCCAATGACTTGATAACTGTGAGTGATATTATTGAAGAAATATGTAATGCTATATGGAATAATCTCCAACAGCAAGTACTTCCATCGTCTTTAGCAAAAAAAGATTGGTTAAATATTGCATATGATTTTGAAGAATTATGGAATTTCAAACATTGTGTCGGAGCAATTGATGGAAAACATATTTTGATACAGGTATAATATGTATTGTATTGTTAATATATACGAGTTAAATATTATAAATATAAAAACTAAATAGCTTTTTAAAAACTAAATTTATTTTTTCAGTGTCCTAATAATTCGAGTCCATCATCTTTCAATTACAAAAATAACCACAACATTGTTTTGCTTGGAATATGTAATGCAAAGTATATTTTTACATTTGTGGACATTGGAGGTTATGGTCAACGCAGTGATGGTAGCATCTTTAAAGGTTCCTTGATTGGACAATCTTTTCATAATAAACAAATGAATTTACCAGAACCAGAACCTATTACGTCAGATGGACAACCTTTACCCTACATACTTGTAGGAGATGAAGCGTTTCAATTATCAGATTACTTGCTTCGACCTTATCCGGCAAGAGAACATCTAACGCGAGATCGAATACTTTTTAATCATCGTCTTAGTCGTGCTAGAAGGACAATTGAAAATACTTTTGGCATTCTAGTGAGTAGATGGAAAATTTTGAGGCGACCAATTATTTGTAATGTTACACAAACAATGAAAATAATTCAAGCAATAATATGTCTCCACAATTGGCTTCGCTTACAAGATGTTGAAGATAATCAATACGTATCTCCATCAATGATTGATCAAGATGATCCAAATGGTTTAATTCCTGGTTCTTGGAGAAAATGCATTGAAAATAGTGCCCTTCGTGACATAACTAAATGCGGTACTAATACCAGTAGTCGCCAAGCTAGACAAATTCGAGAAGAATTTTGTCAATATTTTAACAATGAAGGAGCTATACCATGGCAATTTGATCAATGTTAATATTATAGACTTTAATTTATAAATTTTATATATTTAATTATATTTATTTAATGTTTGAATGATGTATATCAATACTCTTGATAAAAAAAGAACATACAGTGTAAAGACAAAATAATATATAATAAGTAAAAATTACGCATGTTCTGCCAAAGCATCATATATTATATCTAAAAACGTTTTCATTATTTTTCGCCGTTTGCGTAACCCCAATTCTCGCAGTTGGCATCCTAACATTGACAAAAAGGCATCAATTTCATCCGGAACTGGAATAGGCGGAAGATTAACAGACATGTCGTTATTGTCGCACAATGCATTTGTAATTTTGTCTATTGCATTGGCAGACTTTTCAAAATTACTCTTCTTTCTTTTATTGCGGGGACCACTATCTAAAAAGAGTAAATATTATAAACAATAAGTCACATTACTGTCTCCTAATATTCACTAATAGTACAGAAAATTGATAATTTTATGTTTTTTTATATTTATAGTTTTAATATAATATTTGTACAATATTAGAGAATATACAGTTTATGTTCAATCAATACATACTTGATTCGTTTTCAACATCTTCAAAATCATCTATCTCAATATTACTCATGGTGCTGTAAATATTAAAATTATCAATTATTAAAGTGTCAAGGGTTAAGAGCGCAACAGCAAGTTGATCTATACTAATATTTTAGTTTATACATAAATATAACAAACGTTTCAACCAATACATTCAAGTCATTTTCAATTGAGCGATAATTACATACATTAATATTAAAATTATCATTACAAATTGTATCAAATATACTATTTTTGACATTTTTATATATAAAATATATCATTCTTACGCTTTCAACAAGCAAGAATCTCGTAAAAATTCCATTGAATCATAATGAAACCATTTCTTTCCATTGTTTTTTCGAGCAGATCCACTGGCGCTTGTTTCTGATCTAATTATTCGTCGGTATGTATCATGTAAGCTTTTAAATTTTGTTTTGGCTTCATTGGCTGTAATTTTCGTATTTAAAGCATTTGCTACTTCTTGCCATAAAGTTTTTGTAATTTTTAAGTTGCGTAGTGATAATGGAAGTTTATAATTCCAAAGAGGCTCTCGTAACTGAACTTCTAAAATGAGAGTTTCTTCGTCATCGTGGCTAAGTTTTACTTTTAAGCCTTCATCTGAATTTCTTCGTTTCTCACAAGAATTTTGCTCAGATAAGTGTATTGGCGTAACAAAATCTAAATACAAAACTTACATACATTAGAAACAATGAAAAAGGTTTTCACATTATTTTGGTACAATTATAATCAAGTTTATTACCTGTATTTTTCTTGTGTAATTGCACTGTTATTATTTGTTTTTTATCTATGCTTGACACTCTGCTTTTTATTACGGTCACTCCATCATCTGCAAAATATTAAATAATATGTATTAAATTAAATAATAAATTAAAAAATATATTAAATAATAAATACAATAAAACGTCTAGCTTTTAATATCTAACAATTATAGGATCTAATTTACTTAATAACGGATAAAAATATAACGTATCAGGTTCTGTGATATATTGTGTATAGCCTTTTAAACAAGCATGCTTTCCAATATCTGCTTGCTCGCAGATCATTTCACATAATCCGCACGTTTGTACGAGATTAAGGGATTCATTCTGAAAAATATATTAAATTTAATACTACAGATATTTGTAAAATACTTCTAATTTGTTAGTGTTGTTAATGTTACCTCTAACTTTCATATTTTGGCTAATTATAATCTTTCAGTCTTCTTGTAAAATTGAAAGGTTATAATATATGTATATTTAAGATAGATTATATTTGGTTTGTACGATACACTATTGAAAATCGCAAAATGTAGAAGATGTAAAAATTAATATTTTACGTACGTCAGAGTCCATTTTTTATTTCGAATCGGAATGATTAACAAAGATTCAGCGACGACGCTAAATGTTAGACAAATTCAACTTCTTTAAAAGTACAATTACTTGGCTTCATGCAGCGAAGCTTCGCTGGCGAGGACTCCCCACTCCGCTGTAAACAACGCCAGCGTTCAACGCTCTTCGCTAAAGCCTTCTCAAGCTGGAAACACAATAGACACAAGCAATAGGAACAGGCAACAGGGAATAACGAGCCATCCAATCAAGCTCTGGGATATAATATCGAACTTATACCCCAAAGCTCTGATTGGACGGCTCGTTATTCCCTGTTGCCTGTGCCTATTGCGTGTCTATTGTGTTTCCAGCTTTAGAAACATAAGTCCGGATCTACAATAGAGTTTTAAGCCTTAAGCCATAAGAAATGGGCGAATCACAGTCGTTTATTCTTCTCGGATTCGACTGTGATTGGTCAATTTCTTACTCTTACTTCCTACTCCGTGTATTGTAGACGACGCCTCAGAAAACAGGATTCCGATGGATTTTACTTCGTATCATCGGAATTCTGTTTTCTGATTGGTTGCAGAGCGTCGTACGAAGCAAATCGGATGCAGGGTGAATCCAGCAATAGTACTGACGCATGCGCATTGCGAACATTTGGGACTCTATACCTTTCTCTCTCGCACAGATGTTGGCCTCACGTTTGGTATATGGGTAGCATAGGCAATTCCTCTTCCAGTAGTATATGTTCTAAGATGGGGTCAGCTTCAAGACTGCGTTCGGAAATTTCACCGGGATGCCCCTGTGTATCGCTTTATCCTTATTTAACATTGAGTGAAGAACAAGGATAAAACGATACATGGAGGCACTCGGGTGATATTTCCGTACGTAGCCCAATACATGGGATACGGGAGTTCGAGGGTATTGAGGGCCCCGGCTGTTACTTCATGTTACTGTGACGCTTTTGTTGCGCATACATCACCGAAAACGTCTGAAGGAGAAAAGAAGGGAACGGCGACGCGGCGATGTTAAATCAGGCAGTGGTCGAGGCACTTTATTCGGCGACCTATATCGAAAACTATTTGGATTGCGTGGAAAATTTGCCAAATGACTTGCAGAGGCACGTCTCCCGACTACGAGAGCTGGATGCCACTTGTCAAAGTAAGTTCGATCGAATTTTTATAGTTCTTTTGGAGCAATAATCGATTCAGCAATACTCGTTGCTTTCTTGTGATTTCTGGTTGATTTTCCATGTTGCTTTTTCCTATAAACATATACTGGATCATTTACACTATTTACAATTTGCAGGGATCTCTGATAGCTTTATACAATATTAGTATGACTTATAAATATAATGTGCTTTAAACAACACAACAAAAATTGTTCGAAGTAATTCGAATTTCCTTGGACTGTTTCTTGAACTTTTGTGTTATTCAAGTTTAGAAAAATAATAAATATCAGCATCAGTATTGAAATCTGTAAGAAGACCTTTCAATTGTGAGAAATGAAGAAAGTTGTATTGCATTTTATTTAGGATTTTGATCACATTTTTAACATTGTTTCTTGAAATAAGTATCGTAACTGTATATTGTAGTTGATATATAGTTGTTTACCATGTCTTGATAATTTTATTTTATAGCATATCTGCATGAAGTGGATCAACAACAAGAGGTATTACGGAATGATACAGATCCTATAGTGAAAAGAAGAGCATTGATGAAAGTACAGCAAGCTCTAATTGCAGCACAGGAAATAGGAGATGAGAAATTACAGATTGTTCAGCAAGTGCAAGATCTTATTGAAAATAAATCTAGGCAGTTAGAAGTAGATTATCGAAATTTAGGTATGATATTTTGCAAATTTCTGACGTTAATAAATTGATATAAAAATTAATTCTAGACATCATTGTGTCTTATCTGCTTCTTATCTTATAGACTTTGGAAAGGAACAAGAAAGCTCAGAATCAGTCCGTGAATCAAATATAAACAACAATTCGAATAATGCAAGCCATGCAAACAACTCGGAACGTCAGCCAAAACGTGCAAGAAGAACAAGGACTGAAACCTTGATAGAATCAGCTCATTCTATGGACATGATGGTTGGAATGACAGAAACAAGATCTTCGACATTATCCAATACAACCAATGGAAATCAGAAAAAGACAGCAGCGGCGGCTACTGGTAAAAAGAAGAAGCGAAAATCTCGGCAAGGCAATCAACAAAATCAGCATCGTGAGGATACTCCGCCGCCACCAGAGGATGATCTAGCTATAGATCCCGATGAACCGACTTACTGCCTGTGCGATCAGATATCGTACGGCGAGATGATCCTTTGTGATAACGATCTATGTCCCATCGAATGGTTTCATTTTTCTTGCGTTTCTTTGACGACAAAACCTAAGGGTAAATGGTTTTGTCCCAAGTGTCGCGGTGATAGACCTAACGTTATGAAACCCAAGGCGCAATTCCTTAAAGAACTAGAAAGATACAATAAAGAAAAAGAAGAGAAATCATAGCAAGAACATGGTGATGAAAGACTTAAAAATTTCACAAAATTTAATTGGACTTAATCGAGACTTTTGTAAGATACTTTTAGTTTCGACTGTAGATGTAAATTTGAATTGTAATCTATCAAAATTTTCATATTTTTTATTTTTTCTCCATGAAATTATAACTCTCTTAATTGTAGAATTGTAGTCAGAGGACATTATATTTTTTGCATTTAAATTATAAAAAATGAATATATATATTTATGATTGTACACACACATACACACATGTATATGTATATATATATATATAAATGAGTCACAAAAAGTCTATGTTCGAATACATTTCCTTCGTTGATATCAATTATAAAATACTCATTTATTAGATTATTAGAATGCGTATTAAAAAAACAAGTAAAATATCTTTACGGAAGAAATAGTTCAGAAAATACACGAACTATATATATATACAATATAAATTATAAAATATGTAATGAGAAAAATAAAAATATATAAAAATAACTACAAGATAACGAGGAATTGAAATAAACATTTCACAAAAATATAGTAGAGAAGATGAAATCCATTATAATAGTAATATAATTTTATACATCTCCAGTTTCTTTTGTTAAAATTTTGTTATTCCTGTAAAAATTGTATATATATACATATTTTTTTCTTAAATATAAGTATTAACAACGGAAAAACAATAAAGAGTTTACAAACATTTTTTTCTTGCAAAATTTATTAATTCGATACTATTCAATATATGACATTCATTTACAGTCTAATACAAGCGTGACTTTCTAATGGTAAATACCAAGTCGAAAACGAGAAATAATCACACTATTTTCTTATATTTTGCGCCATTACATGGTGAAAGTAGACTTTCCAGAAGCGACTTACAAACTTTCATATTCTTTAGCATAATTGCATTTTTCTCAAGCTCGTCTATACTTGTAAAATAGTAAGTCGATTTGCCTGCAAGATTAACGTATTGGCGAAACATTGTACGGATATTATTTTTGTATCTTTTGCGCGAGGGGTACCTAACGGCTAGTTATAAGAGCAAGACAATACATATTGTATGTACGTACTTATAAGTAAAAGATCACATACGTTTATAGTGCAACTTCACGTCGTTCCAGTTTCCTACTTTTTTAAATTTCTTTTTAAATATTTTTTTGCAACAGTTAAAGTCGTGCGAATTCCTTTCATCATGTTTTTCTACAGAGACTGTGAATCAACACGGAATGTTCGCCACGAGGTATTGAAGGATATTACGTATACAGCTCCAATGGAACATATCGACCGAATCGTCATTTACGTTATAATACAAGGGATAACTTTTTATTTTTGGACAAAGAAGCTGCGACAGAGATCTCTTACACATCGTGAAAAGCGGCATACTTAATGTCAGCGAGGATCCTCCGTGTGACTCTCTTGGAAATTCAGCCAAGACTGTTCAACTACGGTGGCCACTCGCTTCTCGTATTCTCGCTTGTTCTCTTGGTACAATTGCGCCGCTAAAGAGTTGGCTGGCGAATTGGGATTTGGTTCGTCCAAAAGCGACTGTAACACAAATCGTTGACGAATTCCCTCAGCATATTCAGATACATTTTTATATTTTCGACAGAGAAAAAATCGAATACATGAGCGCATACAAAACTGAAAGATTTCCAGGTGAAAAGAGCGTATATAGGATGTACCTTAAAAAGAGCGCCCACTAATCTCGATATAGCTTTTTTAACATATACCCTCTATATGTATGTGTGCATGTGGATGTACGTGTGAATTTGTATGTGTGTGATATGAAAATACTAGAATTCAAAGTACAATTCTGCGACGCCGAAAAAAGACATTCCTTTTGCAGAAAAGAAAAAAGGAAATGAAGAAAACAAAAAAGACGAGCCAAGTAGGTTTTTTATACTCTAACATTTAATATAGTAACTAATTTCGTGTATCATCAGATATTCGAAATAAATAAATACGCAATTTTATAATAATTTATTATTCAACATCGTAAAAATTCCGTCTAACGTTGCACATTCGGTTCGTGATATAGTTCAATAGAGCTTTCAGGAAGAAACATGCTAGGTATGTTTCCCTTTTTCTCTCTTTCGTTATTCTTTTTAACGTTAGCTCCTTGGTAAGGCTGCACGTTCTTCTCCCCTGTATCTGATGGCTGTTGGTGGCTGACTGATGTCGCGATACCAGCATCGCTTTAACACCTGCGACTAATCCACAAAACTCTGCTCCACGCAAGCCTTCACTCGTTTCTCGTACTCGCGTCGATTCTCTTTGTACAGTTGCGCTGCCATTGAGTTGGCAGGTGAATTCGGGTTCGGGTCACTTAACAGCGACTGCAATCACATAAGTCGTACTTCATTACACTTTGAAATAAGGTTTTTCAGTTATCTTTTTGACAATGTGCATGGCCGCAATCGGAAATAAACGCGAGGGAAAGGACAATCTATAAGCCTTTTGCCTTTCTTTTCTCCTACTCTTCCTTTTGTTCTCTAATTGGAAAAAATTAAAGATGATGCATATCGACGGATAATCAAAAATAGTACACAGATAGATGTAGATATATGCAAGTATTATGTAAATCATCATGTGATTAGACTTTGCTGAATTGCAACCGCTGTTAAGACAAAACGAACGAATCCTTCAGATATTTTTAATGCTACGGAGATCTCTTGGAAGTGACGTTTCAATGAGAAACATATAAGTGATATGATTTAGAGAAAATAAGACAACATAATGAACGATACAGATTCTAAAACGTAAAAACAAAAAAAAAAAAGAAAAACGCTTTACGAAAAATCCAGAGAGGATCTTTGTTATCTCTAAAATATTCGTATTTTATTAAAGATATTTATTAATTGCCATGCAAAATACTTTTGGCTTCGGCAAGACTTGCGAATATCATGTATATATTAGAATGCAATATATACTACTTGTAAATATATATTATGACATTATTCTAACGTAAGTTGTAATTGTGTTTCATGCCGCATGATATTAAAATAATTCTTTTTTATCATTTAATTACGCAATGTAAATAACAATGTTATAATAATGATATAACAAGAGATATGTATCAAGCTATAAAAAGAAAAATATTTATATATGATAGAAAAAGACATCAAAAGCATTGTTATGTTGTACATTGATATTTATGCTCATAAAACATTAATTTATTAAAGCCCATAATTTAATTCTCAGCTATTTAAAATGCCAGAAAAGTTAAAATATATTTTGATAAAAAAAAAGAAATAAAAAATTGTACCTGTATAGATGTCAAGATGGCTGAGACGTCATAAGTAGGACTCCAACGATTTTGTAGTATGTCCAGACATATTCCACCATCTGCATATACATTAGGGTGAAACATTTTACTAACAAATCTCACTGTTGGTGGTTTGTTTGGATATTCTTCTGTAAATTCTATTGTAAGTTTAAAGGTGCCATCTTCAAATGGAGTATCATGTGGTCTAAAACATATGTTTACACAAACATAAATATCCTTGTGTGAGCAACTTTCCTATACTTAAAATATTTAATCTTATTTTATTTATTCGGAAGGTAAAGTAAAATTTTATTGTTAGAGTCACTTTACAAGTGTACTTTATAGATGTACTGTTGGATTTTTTGAAACAATAGTAAAAATCAATTCTCTGAGAAAGTGGGTTTTGGTGCCAAATATTTTTCTGTTTGAATTTTCAGTTCAAGTAAATTCCATCAGGCCAACACAAATATATATATATATATATATATATATATAACCAAAGACATTTCTTTTGAAACATTAAGAATGACTAATAAAAATCACATTTTCGTACCCAAATATAACTGCATTCCATATCATAATATTATTGTCTGTCGGAGCGCCTGACACTCCAGTTGGAGGATCTTCCTGTAATCTTTGCAGAAATAACAATTTTTAGAGCCTTGTCTTGCAAATAACGGCACATAAAACTTTATTCTTTGGATTATTGTCGATACATTATTCACAAATACAATGCCACTGATAGTCATAGAACTCGTGATAAGATTAATCTTTGCAAAATCTGATAAATTATATATGAAGCAAATAAAAAAAAATTACAATCCACTCTTACGGGTTTTATACAAGCGTTATATGAAATTTGTCAGAAACGCCATGTCTAATAATGTTATATACAAAAATGAGGAGTCGCTGTTCGAGTGACATTATCATAAAGATTCGCCGAGACTATTTCTAGTAAACGGCTGAAAATCTATCAAGGCTTGCAATAATGCATGGATGAACCATCAACAGGATGGAGAACAATTCATTTTAAAGGGCCAGAAAGGGGGAAGGAAAGGAGGGAGAGGAGCAAGAGGGTGAATGCGAGGGACGCGTCATGCGGGGACACATTTCTAATAATAAACGCGGCTGACGTTCGCGCGGAAGGTGCGAGATCGTTGATCGCGCAGAGTCGGGTCGAATCGAGCGCACCAGGAGCCGCTGCAATTACAATGGCGTCATGCCGATCGAACAGACGTACGAGGGAGAGGGAGAGGGAGAGGGGGACGGACGGAACGGATTACGGAAAGGCGGACAATAAACGCCAAGTACCTCTTGAAATCCCTCATCAATCGCCTCCTCGCAGGGGTGGACATCCCTTACGAATGGGCTTTCCGTTAACTTGTGCGAACGATGATGACTGATCACGCTCGCGCGCTCACACACACTCTCTCTCTCTCTCTCTCTCTCTCTCTGTCTCTCTCTCTCTCTTCCTCACTCTTGTCCTCTGCGACAAGTCTAGATGCGTATATTACGCGTGACTGCAGATGACAACGCCGAAGACAACAACGGTGATGACGATGACGATGACGACGACGACGACGACGACGACCTCCTTCCTTTACCGCACCTTGTGCGCGTAGTCTATCTGCGCGACAAGAAACACCGAAAGAAATCACGACACCCACACGCGCGTCTGTACGCGTACCGGATTTAACGTAGCACTCTGTATACTCTCTCTTTCTCTCACGCGCGAACGAGACGGGGATTATTTCTTACGAGAGCCCGGATTTGCGACGTTCGCAACCGAGCGAGCGAGCGAAAATGAGTGCGAGAGAAACGGAGGAAGTAGAGAGACCGTGGTAGAGGGAGAAGAGCCGAGGAGAGTGAGCGAGAGGCCGTTGTTTGTCTCGTCCTTTGCTTTTTGTTATGTCTCGGTGAAGGCCGTCTTCTTTTTCACGCGAGACTGCTGGAATATAGGGACGCACGCGGCACGAATGCGGTCCCACTCCGATATCCGTGACAAATACGGCGATGACAACGACTATGATCCTCGATGATCACTCGTCAACTCTGGTCAGCTAAAGTCAGCTTGCGTCAGCTGGACAACGAACAGTAGTACAGTACGGTGGGGATACGATACGAAATGAACCACCTCGAATCATGCCCGAGGTGACGTCATCGAAGCACTACGAGCGAGATCTGTATGCAGCCCGTAGCAAATCGGTCAAACGTTTCTCCGGAAATGGCTGCGTTCGGCAGAGAAAACAGCTTTGCAACTGTTGTAAAATTCTTCGATATGATTGGTCTTGCCCTTAAGCTGGAAACAGGCAACAGGGAATAACGAGCCGTCCAATCAGAGCTCTGGGATATAATATCGAACTTATACCCCAAAGCTCTGATTGGACGGCTCGTTATTCCCTGTTGCCTGTGTCTATTGTATTTCCAGCTTTACGCCTAGAGCCCTACATTTATCAGAGAGGCGCAACCTGTGTTATGCATTCTGATTCGCTGTTGCAATCTGACCAATTGCGCGACTTGGCAGCCATTTATAGTACTAGTGACATATTTCTGTTTCATTTTATCCTATACATTCCATCTCACATTATCCTACACGTCATATCTTGTTTGACATAGTTTAAAGGCAGTTTCGGCTGCGGTCCATTTGACGCTACAAACGCTTCGAAGAAAACGCCAATCAGAAAACAGGATTCCGATGATACGAAGCAAAATCCATCGGAATCCTG